TCAGCTGTGTTAATGAAACATTTGTCCTATACCCGAATGAAACCCACACTTTTATGAGAGGCATGAAACAAATTCTTCTTAGACCTACAATGCACATGTTATAATATATTATGTAAATAACATAACATGAAATTTGCTCTGTTTTCCCTCGTTAAAATTTCCAACAAAGGTCACGATTTGGCAGCTTTTGGAGTAGTGGAGTTGTTGTACGCCGCTTTGAATGCAGTGGGTCGCAAAACAAAACGACAATGGCGAACAAATCTGTTCGGCTCGCTTTCCTCGACTTCCTCTTTAATTATCCCTTGCTGTTGACAGGATTCATATGTGGCCCAATGAATCCAGATGGTCAGCATTAATTGAGTACAATCAAACCCGAAATAAACATCCCTTCCATGTAAAACACATTCAATTCCAGATGTAATTTGCCTGATTGGAGGAGAATATTAATGCGCTGTCATGTAATGAGTTCTAATGAATGATGAACTGAGGAACATCTTATTTCCTGTCCTATTTGTCACATGTCATTAGCCACTCAATGTGACTAATGTGAATGGCGGTCGTTAAAATGTTGGGAAGGACTGAATAAATAGATCCTTTAATAATATTTTAGTTATTATGGCTTGATGGGGATGAGGGTTTTTTTCCCTACAAGAACATTTTACTTGATGAGTTGATGCCCATTAATACTGTGTTTTCATTCAGATAGAGCTGTGATGTAAGTTCAGAACAGATGTAAGTTTGGTTGCTTGATATTTTTGTTGCTTCTTGTACCAAAGTTTAAATGGAAATCTGTCAATCGCCCCAAGAAAACTCTCTGAAATGTTGAAGTTTACAATATTTCCGTTACAAATTTACTTTATCCTTCACTGTGTTTAACAGTGGGAATGAGGTGCTTTTCTACACATTCATCTCCTTTAGAATTTCACTTAAAAAAATCCTCGTAATTAAAAGGGTGAATGAAGATTCTCAAGGCTTTTCAAAGAAAAAGAGGTCCACAGCATCTCGGATGTTTTGTTTCACACCTGAGAGGTTGCAAGGCCAAAGGAGAGATGTCAAAGGATTTCCAAATGCAATGTTACAGACCATTAAGTGCTGCTAACTGTAGCTTAAAAATGTGGCGGTTGGTGGTGATTTGAAGTTTCTTTCATGTATCAAAATACAGAGGAAAAAAAAAAATTAGTTGGCTCCTTACAGTAAAAGAAAATTAGCTGCATATGGTGCATACAGTAGAATTTAGTGTTGCGTAGGTTCATTGGCCTCTGTTCCCAGACATATAGAACACAAAACAATTGGGCTCATGAGAGAGATGTTGTACAGTCTGATTGTCTCCTTCCAATGGCTGACTACTTAGATTAGGATTGTGCAGCCTATAGACTGATTAGCGGAAATCAATGCTAACACAACAGTCATCTTGGTGCATTTGTCATAATTCATGTCATTGCACTGTAACTCATTTACCCACCACAGCATATTTTGATCAGATAACTCTGACATATTTTATTAGTTAGGGCTCACATGTTCAAAGATTAGATTCTGCATAAAAGTATTTGATTATATCTCAAAGCTTGACATTGTTTTAAATATACATTTTAACTCCTGCCTTTAGGATAGTTCAATTTGGCTATATTTACAGTACTATCCTAACTGAATATTACATTAAAAGTCAGCTTGAAATTATCTTACAAATGCTTCTTTTCCATCTGTTAATGCATATTTTTCACATTCATATACATATTTAACAAACTTTGATAAACTGGGCTGTTTCATAGATTCAGCAAGCAGTTAGTGGCAGGTAGGGTACACAGTGGACAGATCGCCAGTCCAGCGCAGGGAAACAAAGATATACGAGTACCCTGACCCTAACCCTAAATCATACAAAACAACCATGCACACACACATTAACACCTAAGAAATATTTAGAGCAACCAGTTAATCTAACAAATATGTTTTTGAACCAGAACACATGCATGCATGGGAAGAACATCAAACTGCATGCAGAAAGATCTTTGGCCTGGATTTGAACCTTGGACGTTCTTGCTGCAAGGCAACAGAGCTACCAACTGATCTACTGTGCAGGCCTCAGATAAAAAATATATTTTTTATGCTTTAAATAAATGCTTTAACGATAATTTTCATAATATAACTGACAAATTATCTTCAAATTATGCCAGAGTACATGCAAAGTTTTAACTAAACTAAACCAGATTTCAGGAGAAGAATCTGTACCTCCAAAATAAAGTTTACAGCTGTGCTTCTAAATAAATGATCAATGTCTCATAGGTGAGATCATTGCAGCACTGTGTTCTAAAGTCCAAGTAGATTTGAACCAGTGATTAAAAAGAAAGTTATGGTGTGTGACCTTTGAAATAAAGGTCACAAGTGGCCTTCAAAATAAAGGTCTTGCTCTTTCAAAGATGAGAATTTGAAAATCCATCTGTCCTTTCATTATCTTCTACTTTATCCAGGTTTGGGTCACAATGCACAAAAACAAAAATATATATATATGCATGATTTGGACATGAAAGTGTCTTTGAAACAATTTTTTCTTTGTTCCACTTTGCTCTTAATTCAACTAGTTAAAATCTTGGTTGTTTTGACTCCGTCACTCTTGGTATTTTCTCCTTTGCTATTTCTGTCTCACTCACACAAACATTCAGACACAACTCAGTGTAACTATGACTGCAGTTGCCATAACATTTGTCTGCCATGAGTTCCCTAATAATCAGACACGAGGGGAAAAGGTTGTGGTGATCCAACTGTTGGCATCGACCGCAGTTATGTGTTATGGCTGCAATGTGTCTGGAGAGAGTCTGTTAGCCCACCCAAGCTAGTGTGCTGGCATTCGAAAATATACGCATGTAGATAGACATGCACATACTTCAAATTGTGTCAAAGGGATATAGACATTGTTTTGTAATATAAGGCTTACATATAACATAAATGAAGGAGCATATGTTACCCTGCTTTGTGTTTGAACTCTTCTCATCTTCTGCGTGACACATGTTGTAAAAGTATATTCAGTCTACAAGGCCCTCCTCTTTGTCTGTTGTTGTTGGTCAAATGATTTCACTGGCAGAGTGCAAGAGAGCTCACAGAATGATTAAACTGAAGAAGAACAGAACTAGAATAAAAACCGTGTCATAAAACGGCACTTTGGTGTGGAAATGGTCAAACTGCTATCTCTTACATGCGTGAAATGTTAAGTTGCAAACAAAAATAAATGGAGGAATATGCATAAAGGAAAAAGAAAATACATGAGACGGTATAATTTGTGTGATCACAAAAGGAATGTATTCTCAAGGCTTTTAATGTTAACTTTTTAATGTGGCAAACAGATTGCAGCTGACTAGATTGAAAAAAGATCCAGCGATGACTCATTTATAGTTTACCAGAAGAGTCCACCAGATTTCTATGCAAATATGACAATTCAAAAACTTACAATTTAGTGTTTCTCCAAGACAAACTAAGCAACAACATCACAGATCATCTACTATGATGAGCTGTGCATATGCGTTTCCCATCCACATTTTAATTCTTTGTTTCTAGCGAAATCACATGGACTGCCACATGTTCATAACTCCATATTTTTATATTTATGATGGTTGGAGAAAAAGGCATTTTTTGTGGCTGTACTTCAAGAACCTAGAGTCTAATGGTTCTTATAAAGATTTGATGAACCCAAGATGCCACCCTTTGCAGCAGCAGTATTATAGTGATCTTTGGAGGTTTTATTATGTCTCCCACCCTTTGCAATCCGCCACAATCTGGATGGCGGAAAGATAAAAGTGGGGCCTTGTCCAGCCTAAAAGCCAGTAGCTAAAACAAATGGGCCTTTGTGTTATGTTATATTTATACCCCATGGAAACAGAAGTTGTGTATTTTATACAAGAAGTTTACAGAGACTCTAATGAACGTACAACAATAGATAAATTATTTAACATTTTGTGTTTATGCTACATTTATTGCCAAAACGTGTGACCAGCACTTTATTGGACAAAATTTAATTAACCACAAAGGCAAATTGGTAGAGAAATACCTTTTGTGGGCAAAAACAGCTTTTGAAGCATAAGTTCATCAGGGTCAGACTATTTAAAGCAATATCTTACCAACAGAACATACCAAATGTGTTTTCATTTCAACAACTGACATCTGTTTAATATTGTTTGTAAACCCTACAGTTATTTACCACATCTTTGTTTATTTTGTTAATTTTATATAGAGAGCTGAACTGGGACCCTTGTGGTCCTCAAACAGATTCTTTGACCTTTTCTTTAGCGTTTCTTTCCTGATGAAACTTAGTTTTCGTGCATCATATCAACTTAGAACAAAACTATGTGTCATCAGTCAGCTTTTCAGTTGTCTGCCATCTATTAAACTGCAAAGTGAGTTTTTTTTCATTCTTTCAAATAAAGTAAAACAGATTTTGTTTGTATCTGCAGTCCGTCATAGGAACATTGTTTTCTCTCCTTCTTAACATCTGACATTTGAACAAAGTTTGTCTCTAATGACGAGGCATTGTAATGCATTTAGTTTCCTGTTCTTACCTGAATAATGTAAATGCATCTTTTGGGTCCTTTTTTAAATGGTATAATGTATTATCAGAATTACATAAACTCTTTCCTAACATGTTTATTAACATACCAGCAGAACAAACTTTTGGTTAAAATTAGCCACATAGGAAACATTGGTTGATACAATAGTCACCAGGTAGTTAGGAACTGCACTGTCTTGAATACAGCTCTCTGTTTTAGCTATCAGCTTTATTATATATATTTTTAGAGAGTAAAAGGTCTGAGATTCTACATGAACTTTTACTTTTCAAGCCTTTCAACCATATGTGAACAATGAAACAAATCCAGGAAACTATTTGACAACTTACTTAAAGATTTTGGATTTTGAGTTGATGGAATAATATTATTGTGGGAATCTAAATTTGATCGCAAAACATAGAAAGTGTTTTTTTTTTTTTTAATATGTTCTCTCTTTGTGTTTCTGTACAGTGAAGAGGATGAGGAGTCACAGCTTACCTCCCATGAATCTGCTGTTGTAAAAACTATGATGAAAGGAACTGCTTCAAACCACGGTAAACACCATTTTTATGTTGATAAGATGGACTTATAATTTATGGTTATTCACTTTTTCACTCTGTCACAAAGCCAGTAAGTAGCAGTTGCAAATATTGCCAGCTGCCATTAATGCATCCTGTCAAAAATCGGATTTATGGGCCTGATATTAGAGTGTAGAAGTGTGTTGCCCAGTTACCAAATAGAATTTTAAACAATATGTTCCTTTTAGCTGTTAATACACTATTTTGCTCCTACTGTCAGGGCTACATAAAATTTGTTAAATGGTGCATAAATTATTGTTACAAATCTGTTAGAGCTATTCCAGGTAAGCTATGCCTGTGTTGCTTTTACAGACGGCAACGTAATCAACATATTTAAACAACATAAAATCCCTAACACAAATGTGGTATACATCATTCATATAACTTCTCTATTATGTATCTTCTTTATTATATATATGCATAGTCAGTCCACCAGATTTTTACTGAATATGGTAATTCAAAAACTTTATGATACAATTTAGTCTTTTCCCAAACAAAAAAAGTGTTTTCATCTTTGCAAACATACACACACACACAAAAAAAACAAAAAAAAAAAACAAAAAAAACTCTTGGCTCTCACTTCTAGCCTAATGGGAAACTGCTTTACAGTTGTGAAACCAAATGTTGTTACAGTCAATTTGCGAGGGGGAAAATGACCTTACTTTCTGTGGCTGACGCTCAACATATGTTATGAAATAGGTCATCGCAGTTTTTCTTGTGTTTTTCCTCAGTGGAAAGCCATTAAAAAATCCACATTGGCCTCTGGCACCCTACTCAATACCACATGCAGTGGCTCTGTTTTGTCAGAAAGATAATATTTATAGAGAGAACCTGTTGGGAATAATAAAAAAATGTTTTGGAGGCAAGCTGCGTAAAGCTGAAGAATGTTTTTTTGAGTCCTCAACTAGTGCAGACAGTGTTGATGTTCTGTCCGTTACATTGTTATTTTACTGATAGAGTATACATCATTTATTTCTGAATGTGAGAAAGTGTTTGCACCCTTACAGTAGTCTTGTTTTTTGTCTTTTTTTATCATCAAATGACTCTAAACATCAGATAAAGGCAACCTCAGTTAAAGCACAACACAGTTTTTGATTTATATGCATTTATTAAGGCATATGTGGAAAAAGTATTTGACTGGATTTTTTAAAAAGACCTGCTGGTAAAGATTTACAGCTCACTGGTAGAGTCCACCAGATTTTTATTGAATATGGAAAGTCAAAAACTTTATGATACTTTTTAATCGTTTCCCAGACAAACAAACTGACAGCATCACAGATCATCTACCACAATTAGCAGTATAATTATGGTAGAGTCTTTGTTCCTAGCAAAATCAACTTGAGTGTCACATGTTTCATAACCCCACATTTTAATGATTATGATAGTTGGACAAAAAGACATTTTTTGTGGCTGTACTTCAAGTACCTAGAGTCTAATGGTTCTTATAAAGATCTGATGAACCCAAGATGCCACTCTGTGCAGCAGCAGTTTTATAGTAATATTTGTTTTTGTCTACCAACCCTTGATATAACGTGCAATGTGCATGGTGGGAAGATAAATGTTACCTTTCCTTAAACCACACATACAAAAACATCTGGACATCTGTACTCTGGAGATGAAAAGCTAAGCTCTATGTTTAGCCAGGTGCTCAAGTTTTAGTGTTCTAGCGGCTGTCTTGGTGGTCCATGTGTGACTTTGTGTGCTTTTGGCTGTATGTGTGCATGCACATAAACTTTAGGAATGTGTTAAAAATAAAAATATTCTGTGTGTTGCTAAAGATGGATGTGCTTAATTCATGACTGTGACAACAGTGGTCAGCGAGCAGCATGCACCTTCATAACACCTGTTGAGTGTGTAGTCAGAGAGGTTAGAGGTCAAATGTCCTACAAATCACAAATAAAAAAAAACATACAGCCAAAGCTTTTGACACCTTGAGGCCTTGCAGTGCAAGAAGATAAAAAGACTGTCATTTTATCTCCGCTGAACGTTACCCGCCTTTCACTGATGAAAACATAAGTAAGATTAAATAAGTCTGTAGTAGCCGTAAAGATGGAGCAAAAGTGAACAAGAAAATGTAAAAGTGGCACTGAGAACTAGAGAGATGCAAAAAGACAAATTCTCCCAGGAAGGTGTAGTAACAAATGTGAAATTTCTGACCTGCTTGGTGGTCCTTCTTCTATTTCTGGGTCTAATCTCTCCACCAGTTAACATTGTTGCATAATCTGTTATCGCAGTAACAGATTATTTTACACACCCCTTTAGACATTAACAGTACTAATTTCTTACATAAATGTGGCTGAGTAACCTAGGTGAGGCAAGAGACAGTTGGAGATTCAGATTTAGCTCAGTTAGTTTTATACTAAATGAGCTAAATCGTGCATATTATAGGCTATGTGTGTACTGTATTTTCTCAGGACTTACACTCCGGAGTGTAAGTCACATTAGTCAAAAAATGTGACATGAAGAGGAAAAAAAAAACATATATATATAAGTTGCATTTATTTAGCAATTGTCAAACATCAGGGAGACCTCATGTTGATATGAGCCTGTGACACATTCTGTGCATAAACCTGCTTTTTAAGGAACTGTCGACTCTGGCGTGGCTTGGACGTCTGTTGGCCCTTTCTGACTAGCCTATGTTTGTGCTCAAAAACAAAAGTGTGCAGTGTTCTGCATGCAGTCCAGAGTGATACGGAGGTGGTTGTGTTGTATTAAGCAATAGCAACAAGAAGGCCCACCTGCAAAATTCATCTTCGAGGTAACTAAGAGGTCTTTTAGGCATATCTGCACCATTGACAAGCCTGGCTGCAGACGGTTCATATCAGTCATTAATATTTATTAATGCACCACTCAAAAAAATATCATGAAGAGGAAAAAAAAAAAAAAAAAACACATACAAGTCGCACCTAAGTCATAGGACCAGCCAATCTATGAAAAAGATTGTAACTTATAGTCCAGAAAATATGGCATACATATATTTTGTTGTAAACTGCATTGACCATCTGAGAACAAAAATCGTCACATTACCATTTTAGTTATGTTTGTGTACATATGAATAGGGATGTATTTTTCATTAAAATTTTATCCAGGCAGTTAATGCTGGACCAGTCCTTCATTCCACCACTGCATATGAATATCTTTGATCTTAACCATTACAGTCCAGCTGGTGGTGTATGTTTAGGATTTTGGATATGCTGGAGCAGAATCCTCTATCTATTCTCTTTTTCTTTTATTTTTTTTTTATAATTGTCATTTTCCTTTTCACTTGTTTTGCACTTTATGTCTGTCACATAAATTCCAAAGAAAGTATGTTGAAAGTGAAGGCTTTAATTTGACAAAATGTGAAAAGGTTTTAAGGTGTTAGTTTTGCAGGGGATTCTATATATCTGTATATTCTATCCTTAGCAAAGCAACATTTTATTTTGCTTTCCTCCAACTCCTTTAGGACAAGGAGTACAGAGTGGTTTGATCACTCCATCTTTTGGAATGAAGGGTAATGGGAGTGCCAGTGTCCTCAGGGGTCCTGTTCCAGCCCGACCAGTGCCTCAACCCCACCCCAAAGATGAGGACACTCTGGTCCAGATGGCAGAACACATTCCTGCTGGGATGCGAACCCCCATGTGTGCCCACTGCAACATGGTGATCAGGTTAGAAGCTACTGTTGGAACTAATACCAAAAGTTTTGCTCGCAGATTGAAGAGAAGATTCTCAAAGCAAAACTATATAAATCATGTAAATTTTAATATAATGCTAAAAATGTTTATTTTTCAGTTAAGTTTTCTTATTTTGAATAGCCAAAGATATCACTGCTGCTGAAAAGCAAAGTTTAGCTTTAACAGCTGATAATGATATGTCCTTTCATTAACACCTTAACACAACACCTGCTCATAATATACGCTTGTTTTGGAGACAAGGCCGACACAGATGGTGAGGTGGGAAATTGAAGCCACACTGCATCGTAATTTCCTCAGACGTTTAACTTAAACCATAGGTCATAATCATCCAAAAACGCAGTGCAATAAATGGTTATGATGGTGAGCCATAACTATGCATGAGGATGTTTCATAAAAAACAAAATGAACTTCGAGGCAACTCCAGTTATAAACCTCTCAAGTGATTTCTCATCATCACATTTGACTTAGCACACATGCATAAATTGTGATAAGGTGTGAGGCAATCACAGTGATTGCTGTAATCATCTAAATACCATTGTGACACCTGTGCAATACAGTGTGATCGATGCATCTGCGCTGCTGGAAGACGTGAATGGGAGAATCAGGAGAGAACATGTTTTCAGAGATCACCAAGATCTTCTGCCCCATAATGATGACTGGCTTATAAGCCGTTTTGAACTCCCTAGAGTGTTTCTCTTAGATTTATGTACTGAACTAGGTCCAGTGTCAAATAAATTAACTCTTTGCCTGAACCCACTTTAACAACATAATTCTGAAGTCATCCATACGTCTGGGATATCACAACCAGTGCTGAACGCAGTAATGACTGCCGTTCTGGATGCCATTGTTAACATGGCCAGTCGATACATCAGATTTCCCTACACATTGCTGCAATGTCTGGCTTTTCAAATGTGTTGAGCACAATTTTCTACACAGATATTGTTGTAAGGGCACCATATGACAACAGAGTTGTGTATGTAAATAGAAAACAAATTAGTTCCATTAATTTTCAAATTATATTTGAGTCCAACATGCAGCTGACAAATTTAGGCCTGGCTCAAAGCACGACTCCTTTAATCTGGTGCAAAGCAGAGGTGCCAGATGATGAAAGAATATATTGTGCAGACTTTGGTTTAGGCTTGAGGCTGCCTTACAGGCCTTTTTTGTTTATTTGAAATGTCCTTGTGAATAGTTATGGCTCATCAGCGCAAGTCTATGTCACACTGCATTTTTAAATGCTTTCGATAACGTCAGGTATATAATTAAAGGTCTGAGGGCATCATGATGCAATGTGGCTGCAATTCCCCACCTCACCATCAGTGTCGCCATTTCCCCTGTCTCCAAAATGAGCTTATGCGGTCCACCTGGGTCAGAGTGGGCGTAAGGGACCGCGCATTTTCTCGTCATGTTTATTTTTCATAGATCACAACACGGTAAGGCCCCATTATGTGCATAGACAAGCTTCACAAATGGGACCACAGGATAGCTTGAAAGAAAGATGCAGCCTTTAAGTCAAGTTTGTCCTACAGCACATCATGATGAACTCTCTTCCTCTCTTCAGCATGCTGTCTCTCTTTTCCGATGGCCGCGCTGCCTGGTCTGAATGTTATCTGTGACGGAGTTACTTGATACTCTGTTGTACCCAGGATCAGGTTGCCCACATGCTAATAGCTGTCAGCTTGGGCTGCTGTCAGACGAGGCTCAGATAAGCACACCTATTGTTCTCAGTGAATTGGGCTGCAATGTTTCCTCACTTTACTTAATCATCAGAGTGGACAGGGCCAATGTGCGTTGTAAGCTGAAGCAGAGTACAGGTTACTCTGCTTCAGCTCTCTAAACTGTGTGTTGAAAGGGTGTTGTAGAAAAGAACTGAAACAGCTTATTAGTTAGTTAATAATCTGAACCTTAAGTGAAACTGTACAGCTGTGATGTACCGCACTGCGTAAAGCATCCTCCATAGCAGCCCTAGCTAATTTGTGTAAAAAGACAAAAAATGAACTCTATTGTTGCAGCATATTCATGGGTGGATGCATTCACAAAGATCCAGATTTTAATGTATTGTGAAAATATCTGAAATAAGTAAATCATGTATTTTTCTTTGCCCATCAGCCATGGAGTTAATGTCACCATTAACAATCTGTGTAAAATAAATGTAAGCAAAGCAATTTTTGTCTTTCCTTCTTTAACATTTTCAGCCTGAACTTTCTGAATTATGTTTAGAGGAGAAGTGAACAACATCAAAATGGGTCCTTACAAACACTGTCTGTATGAGCATGCCAGCTGTATTGAGACTGTCACGTGCGCACACACACACACACACACACACACACACACACACACACACATCCTTTGGAAGCAACTATTTTCTGTGTACCAAAAAAAGAAAACTGTACCATCTCCTGCTGTTATTTAATTCTGAGCTGTGCTCACTTCAACGTTGTTTAGTTCAAGGTTCTCAAAAATGTGAGTGCGACTCATGAACACTTTCATGAACAACACTGGGACTCAAGTTTACCTTTCTACCACCTGCAGTGATAAAGATGGTGAGAGAACATAAAAATCCCTCAAGCTCGCTATTGAAGAACAACAAAATGTCATTATGTGACTATGACACTGCAAATAAGATTATTTCATTTGAAAGGTTCCTGCTTTCTTACCATGGGTAGTATGAAACTGAGAGGGTTGTGCAGTAGAATCTAGCATTTTGTAGTTAATCTCATTGTTTTGTTTGTTTTTTTTGTTTTTTTTTCAGAGGACCATTTTTGGTTGCTATGGGAAAATCATGGCACAAGGAGGAATTTAACTGTGTCCACTGCCGTACATCCCTGGCAGACATAGGGTTTGTGGAAGAAAAAGGCTCTGTGTATTGTGAACACTGCTATGAAGAGTTTTTTGCACCAACCTGCAGCCGCTGCCAGGCCAAGATATTGGGGGTGAGTTGATGTATGAACAAATAAAAAGGAGATAATAGGTTCTTTGAAAAAAAGGACATGCCTGATACCTCAATGTGTGTACTAGTTTTCTGATAGTGAATGAACACTGTAACAAAGAAAATCTCAAATGGACGTGGAGGTCCTGTTGATCTCCACTTTCAACCAGGTCTGTCCTTTGCTGTTTTTGCCACAGAGGTTCTGTACCACTCTTTGTTGGATTGATTTACTATGTAGGCAAATGTTATTACATAATTTAAAATAAACACTTAAAGAGCTTCTAAAATGTAAAATTGGCCCCCCATCAAAAGTTCACAAATGAAAAGGTTCTGTCCTGAGTTGAAATATCTATGGTGACCATGACTGAAACTCAGGAATGCAGTGTATGATCTGAAGTTAGGAGAATTAGCCTTAGAAGCCTTAAAGTCTGCAGGTGTGGTTTGAACCCAAAGTGCCAAGAAGCTGAAATCGCATTTCTCTGAGCAGCTCTGACATTTATCCCTCACATGTTCTAACCTCCTTAGCCTCAAACCTTCCAACCCTCCATTTCTCACACATCTTCGACCGGCTTATGGCTTCCTATTAACCTGTTTTTCTCACTCCTGTTCTTCTAATCCTTCATTTTACTCTGGCCCACCAACTTTCTTCTTCTAGCAATTTAAGGGTGGGAAAAAAAACTCAAGAAGTATTTTTTTTTTAAGTCTGGTCATGCGACTGCTTTATTTTGTTTTGTTTTGTTTTTAAATAACACTGTCTTTTGAAGAGATCTGTCAATTATTTTCTTGCCGAGATTAATTTATGAAATTGATTCTTTTCTCTAACACTTTACTGAGAAAGTAAGACGGTTAATCTAGCATTTGTAAGTATACAAATCTGGATGCACTTTTGTGTTATGTCTTAGACTATAACCTGTGTTTTACATTTTATGTTTAGGAGGTAATCAATGCCCTGAAACAAACATGGCACATCTATTGCTTCATGTGTGCTGCCTGTCAGCAGCCAATCAGGAACAACACATTTCACCTGGAGGATGGGGAACCTTATTGTGAGCAAGGTCAGTAGAAAAGGTGTCGATGTTTGTTTATGTAAGTTCATACAAGTAATATTTTCAGCAAGTGTAATGCTTAATTCAGTTCCTTTTATGTAGTGCGGATTCACATCAATTGTAATCAATAATTCACTTTGCAAAAAATAAATCCAATTTATTTATAGAAATATAGAGATCCATTCAATGCAATCTATTTGAAAAGTCCTTTCATTTCAGCAACTCCATCACATTTTAATAGGTTAATTAGACACAGACGGGTGTGTTTAAAATGTAGGCTTCTTGATAAGTGGTGTTAAAATTAGTCCACCGATTATTCATTCATGAAATATTAATTATTTTGTCAGCAAAGATGTTGACACCATTTAGTCGCATGAAACTGTCTGTAAGTGATATATACTGTATGACTCTGCATGAGAAAACTGACTAAGTTGCGCAGGGCATGCCCTGTTTCTGACATTTAACTTTGCTTGTTTACTCATAGCTAATTCATTGCACAGAGCTATACATTGATTTAAGGCCACACTTAAATCAAATTACACCAAACATATATTAGTCAAGTCCATAACAATTCAATAATGTCAAAATCAGTCCCTTTTTTCAGTTATTTTGATATTTTAAAAGCCGGTGCCCGACATCTCTTTTTTTAAAGAAGGAAGTTGATAAAATCGAATTGAAAATAGCTAAAGTCCTAAATTCAGTCTGTAGGTGCATCACTTCTAACATCCTCATTGCTGTGGGTTGTTGGATATGATTAACTCTGGGTACCACTTGGAAGCCGAATTAGAACGAGTGTGGGTTACATGTGGTCCATGTTTCAGTACTTTTCTGATATGAGACACTGTTGCTCACTACCTGTAGGCTTCTGAAGGGCACTGTGTGGGTACTGCATGACTGTACAATCCGCTGATTGGACACTCTACGCTGATTAGACTTGGAGATATTTTGTCATCCTACAGTAGAAACACCCAACAGTCATATGAAGAAAATCACAAGTTTACCTCATTTGAAATGGAATAGCTGGATTTGTATTCAAAGCTAAAGAGTAAAGTTATTTAGTTTATTACTTTTGCTGTCTGTTACATATTGTTTTGGCATTTTACCTTTGAAAATCTCAGAGAGAATGATGTTACTGAGCAGTTTAGTGTGAAGATAAAACCTGATTGCTTAAAAAATAATTTTTCTTATTTGCAAAACAGACTTTTACAGTTTGTTTGGGACCGGTTGCCATGGCTGCGAGTTCCCTATTGAGGCTGGAGACAAATTTCTGGAGGCACTCGGTTACAACTGGCACGACACCTGCTTTGTTTGTGTTGTAAGTGAAAATCATACACACACACTTAGCGTCCTATGTCTGACAGACTGTATTGTGTGATGAAGCATAATGTATCCATTTTTAGGCAATTTAGAGATTTCTGATCTTTTAAAAATGTTTTAGGTTCCTGCTATTGTGTCTTTTTTGCTATTCTATTTAAGCAACAGTTAACTGATTACAATTCAGCTTCAAATTGTGTGTAAGTCTAATGGTTTCTTCACAGGTGTGTTGTGCCTCTCTGGAGGGTCAGACCTTTTTCTCCAAAAAGGACAAACCTCTTTGCAAGAAACATGCTCACCCAGTGAAGATATGAAGCTTCAAATGGCTCTCTGCCTCTATTTTCTCTCTTGTCAAAGGATGCAGAAATACAGGGCTTATATTTACCAGTGGATTTAGGCTTTGACTAAGTTAATTGAGGATGTAACTAAGCAGATTAGTTTTATTTTAACTCTTTAACAGAGGGGTGGGGGATAATATAAAACCTTTTTTGAGCTTTGTATAAAACCTGAGGATTTGCTTTGATTCTTTCATACACAAAGTTCAGCCTTGGAGTTGCAGTCTCCAGTCGAGCACTTGCCCCTCAGAGCTTCTCTCCCTCACACTGCTCAACCAGACTAGCGTCGGCAGCAGTTAGCATACCACTTTTTGAGCAGCGTGTCTGCTGCACTTATTATACAAACCACCTCTCAGTTGATTGCTAATGATTTTAAATACAATCCATTTTATACAATTTAAAATTGCCTTAATTTTAATTACCCAAGAACGGTTGTAAACGGCAAAATGGATGAGCTTTGTTGTGATGATTTGCTGACGGTGGAGTGTCAGAAAGAGTAGGAGCTTCTTAAAGAGACAGAGGCCCAATTTCAAGGCGCCAAATTACAAAGTCAGAATTCTTTCAAGTCGTGTTGGACATATGCAACATTTTTATAACAATTGAAGGCAACATAGTTTCTTGATCATGCTATAAAATGACACTATTTGCCTGCAAATATATTATACTGCCCCATGAAATAAGTTCATTATACTTATGCACACAAGATGTTGTAGTGATAGTTAATCATTTTTGTAAGACCACAGTTAGTCATAGTTTCTTACACACAAATATTCTAACTTGATTCATTACATAATCCTGATTTTAACCTTGAAGCTAAAATACATCCCTGGTTTGTCTGCAGACACAGTAGAATAATTAGAAATCACTCATTTTCATTGTAAAAAAAAAAAAAAAAAGTAAAATAGCTATATGTTTTAACCCAAGCCATGAGAATTTGTTGCAACAGAATATTAGCAATTAGTTTTCATGAAAGCATCATTGTTTGCTATTTTTAATGTTAAGATTTGATTTTCTTTTCACAGTTGTGCAAATTTTAATTGATTATCAGTAACTTACATTAACCTTTGTATTCTTTTATGTCCCTATATCCAAAACTATTTCAAAAAGAGTATTCAAAATTTTAGTATTTGTATTAAGATGAACTAAATGTGGATGTGTTACTTTAATAAAAGATTTTAACTAACCATCTAAGATAATCATTGTATCTTTCTTTTTTATTGTGTTTTCATGGCACTTGCCAAAACTGACTTCAAGTTTCCAAACAGAAAAATATATAACAGGATAAGTTTTTAACAACATTGTTTATTCTGGTTGATTGACAAAAAACATCCAAATAAATAAACATTAACATCTGACATAAGTAAATAATCTGGCAAATAATTTTGTTTTTTCTCATACTCAACATCATTGCAAGTGCACCTTAGTGATGGACATACATTCTTTTGAATTGTGTTCTTTTATTAATGAAACATGTTTGTGTTTTTATTCATAATTTTATATTTCAACTTCACCTCAAAAAGACAGATGGTCCAATATTTTTGACATACAATTCATCAGTCTGTGCATCTTTTTATCCTGGGAGGTACGTGTCTGCTTGTGTGTGTGTGTGTTTTATTGTTCTTTTGTTGAAAAGAACACTTTAATTTACTTTGAATATGTAAATTAAAGGATATTTCTTTTAAATTTGTACTAAATTATAATACAAATAGGTAAAAAGGACAAGATTTTACATTGTCGGACTAAGAGGAGACTGGATTGTGTGTAGAAAGGTAGCATACATATTATAAAAGTACCAGCGTAGTAAACAAAAGTATTTACGTCATTTTTATTGTCTCTCAAAATATGCTTGAAAATAAGTTAAATGTGCCTGTGTTTAATAAATTGTGATGTTAAACCCTCCTAGTGGGTGCGTTTCTTTTGCTCCTATTTCTACTTTGTGTATATGAGAAACTGTCTTACCACATTAAATCAGAGTTAGTTGTCAACCCACCTCTCCAACACTTGATTCAAGACCATGGGACTGTACGCCTGCACTCCATACTTACTTGTTTCTGAATATTGTCAACAAAGGCCAGTAGCTACAAAAAATATTCAAAAACATGTTATTTGTTGACAAGAAATCATTTTTGTCAAGACCTGTTTTTCCCTTCTTTTTCTTTTTTTAATCAAAGAAAAGCTAGATAAAAACTATACAAAAATATGCAAAAGGATCAGAATTATGATGAAAGTAGTCAGCATGGAAGAAGAAAATAATTTTTAATCATATCCACTTTTAGTGTTATTATAAGATTATTTAGACAACTAGCCAAGGCCTTGTACGGTAATAATGTTTTCTTGTTTTTTTCTGATAAACATAAAACTATTATAGTGTAAAATATAGAGATAATTCTATTCAGTTCAAGAATAAATATTTTATATTTGAGTAAGGGAATGATTT